GGGAACCCAGAGCAAGTGTTGAAACTTCCAGTTACAATTCTAACACATACTCACAAATGCACAACTTCCCCCTCCTTTCCCCCCCACTGTGCAGAGGGTTAGGTCTGGGCTGGAATGTAGAGCTTGCAGTCCCCTAGGGACCCTTACTTGATTCAGATGTCCTTAGTACCAGAGACTAGAAGACCTTCTACCTCTCCCCCAGTTACTCCATGAATAGCTAGCCATGCTTGGGAGCTAGCACCCTCTAGGGATTAATCATATCAGTACTATTCAAACTCTGGAAGGCTCATTGTGAGCCAATTCTTCTATAGTATGTTAACTAAAGGAATGGCAACCAACTCTGAGCATATGAAGACAGTGCGAGGATGATTTTATAGTAGTAATCATGATCTGAGCTGAGCCCAGCTATCTAACCCATACTTCCTTGTGAACAATGACACATACCTTCAAGATAGCTCATTGGCATGAGAAAAGCTTTTCTTTGTATGAAGCTAACAGCTTGAACGGATTCTCCATGGTTTGATTTTTGTCTTTTTTTCCCCTCTCATAAAGACTAATGGGAAGTAAGGATGGGATGAGATGAGGTCTAATTTTTTTTTTTTTGGCCGGGGCTGGGTTTGAACCCACCACCTCTGGCATATGGGGCTGGCACCCTACCCCTTTTTTTGAGCCACAGGCATCGCCCAAGATGAGGTCTAAATTTGCCTGTCCTTTCAGTCATCTTGTGGCATGGGGAATGCATCTCTATATGACTGATCTTTCTCAGGTTTGATTTGCAATAGGCTAAAATCGCATCTTTTGTACATTTAAGGGATGTGATGAAAAAGAAAAAGCCTAAGCTCAAAGGCTGAACAAATTCAACTAGACATGCTGGCTAAACTCCCTTGCATAAAGAGGAGCTTAATCCATCCACTCCCTCATCGCCATGTCAGCTCCCCAAATCAATCTGTGCCCTCCTCTGTGCTTTTAATGGGGTACGGACAGAGGGAGGGGAGGCTCAGTGAGAAATGGCCAGCTTCACTGAGGTTTTTATGTGCAAGAACAAATGACAGTCTTGTAGATAGATTCAGGAAAATCTTTCAGAATTCAGAAAACCCAGCAGCCTTTCCACACTGACCATTGTCATGGCAACACACTATCTGATGGCAGTATGCGTCACCAGGCTGGAGGGGCACAAAATCAGTATAGCAGGTTAGTCTGGCCATTTTTAGCAACATTTAGACTTCTTTCTCGCCTCATTTCTTTTAGGTTTTAGCTAAATTTCTTTTCGGTTCTGAGCTCATGTGCTCTGCTAATCTGCACAGCTAGAACACAAGACTTTGTCAATGTGAAAGAGACGGCTAAATGGAAAATCTGAATGTTCTTAGTATTCTATAGCCACTCTAATTGCTATCTGCCCTTTCTGGCTTCTCCTCACCCACTCTTAGCCATTTAGTTTCTTTTATTTTTCCCATTAATTCTTTCCTACACACAGCCTTACCTCCTTCCACCCAACATCTGTGACTCATCTACCAATTCCTGCACTGTCACCATATTCCTTTTATCCCCCCCCCCATTTTCTCATTGTAACATACAGCATCCTAGAATCTTAGGATTGAAAGGATCCTTAACAATAATTTAGTCCAGTTGTGCTTCCCCAAAGCAGGACCCCCTCTATAATATGACAGCCCTAAGATTATCTAGCCTACTTGTTCTCAAGCTTCCTAATTCTGTGAACCTTTAATACAGTCCAAAGGGGTTGTGACTGACAGGTTGAGAACTGCTGGTCTAGCTTCTACTTTTATATCACTAGTGACAGAGGTTCATTCCTTTTTGGGCAGTCAGTTCTACTTTGGAAAGCTCTATTGTTAGAAAATGTATTTTTTCTCTATTGAATAAAAATCTGCCTTTTTATGCATATTATATCTATGCATGTGTCCAGCTTTATGCCTCATGACACATAGACCCTTTCTATGCCCTCTGTTCCAGGATGGCCTCTCAGGGATATGAAGCAGAGACCATAGCCCCCAAGTATTCTTCTCTTCCCAAGGCCCTAGCTCCTCCAACCATACCTCTTGAAGCCTGGGCTCCAGTCTGCTCCCCAGCTCAACTGACCTCCAGGGACATGCTCCTATTTGTGTAGAGCCTTTTTAAATTAAGGCTGATGTGCACATACTGCTTCAGCATCTCTGGAGGCCACTTTGCCCTGGTGACTCATACTGAGCTCTGTGTTGACTCAATTCCCTACCTCAGACAAAATGCTGCTAAGCTATGTCTTCCATTTTTAATATGTTCAAAAGCTTGATTTTCATATAAGTTCCATGCCTCCCTATTTTATTTTATTTATTTACTTAGAGATAGCATCTCACTTTGTCACCCTTAGTAGAGTGCCATGGCATAATAGCTCACAGCAACCTCAAACTCCTGGGCTCAAGCTATTCTCTTGCTTCAACTTCCCAAATAACTGAACTACAGGCCCCTGCCACAATGCCTGGCTAATTTTAACCTGAACATAATGGGATTGGAAGAGGTTTTTTTCTTTTTTGGCCAGGGCTGAGTTTGAACCCACTACCTCTGATACATGGGGCCAGCACCGTACTCCTTTGAGCCACAGGCACCGCCCAAATAGAGATTTTACATCTTTTTTTTTTTGGCCAGGGCTGGGTTTGAACCTGTCACCTCTGGCATATGGGGCTGGCGCCCTACCATTTTGAGCCACAGGTGCCACCCCTGCCCAGCTATTTTTAGAGATGAGGTTTTGCTCTGGCTCAGGCTGGTGTTGAACCCGTGAGCCCAGGCAATCCACCCGCCTTGTCCTACCAGAGTGCTAGGATTATAGGTGTGAGCCACTGCGTCCAGCCTGCCTTGTGCGTGTGTGTGTGTGTTTTGAGACAGAGTCTCACTTTATCACCATTGGTAGAGTATTGTGGCGTCATAGCTCACAACTCTTGGGCTCAAGTGATCCTCTTGCTTCAGTTTTTCTATTTTTAGTAGAGATGGGGTCTTGCTTTTGCTCAGGCTGATCTCAAGCTCATGAGCTCAAGCTATCCACTAGCCTCAGCCTCCCAGAGTGCTAGGATTGCAGGCATGAGCCACCACACCTGGCTAAGTTCCATGCCTTTGATATCTATTTTTTTTCCACTAACCCTCAACCTAGCCTTTCTGCTCAAATCTCTTTTTGACTTATTCCTCTTTTAGGCTTCTTACCATTCCTAGTTTTCTAATTTCCTTTCTATTTCTTTCTTCCATTTGTATTACCTTCCTTATATCTTTTCTTTCTTATCACTTCTATTTCCTCAATAGTGAGATGTCACCATTCTCTGGAGCTATGTGCCTGGGCATGTGTGCAGGGAAGCAAGGGTATACATATCGGCACATGAGGTGTGAGCAAGCAGCTGCAGAGGCTTGTTTAGTTTCTTTGTTTCTATTGCTTTGTCTGTGCTCTACCAGGAATTTTTTTTTTTGAGACAGAGTCTTACTTTGTAGCCCTGGGTAGAGAGCCGTGGCATCACAGCTCACAGCAACCTCAAACTCTTGGGCTTAAGTGATTCTCTTGCCTCAGCCTCCCAAGTAGCTAGGACTATAGGAGCCTGCCACAACGCCCAGCTATTTTTAGAGACAGGATCTCCCTCTTGCTCAGGCTGGTCTCGAACCCGTGAGGTCAGGTAATCCACCTGCCTTGGCCTCCCAGAGTCCTAGAATTATAGGTGTGAGCCACTGTGCCTGGCCTTTTTGCTATTGTTATAAACTGGGCTCTGCTAGAAGATAGGGTTCTTAAATAACCCTCAGCAAAGGCCCTCAGACTAACTACAGGATAGAACAGGCCTCCCTTCAAGTTGGATTATATATATATTTTTTAAGACAGAGCCTCAAGCTACCCCCCTGGGTAGAGTGCTGTGGCATCATAGCTCACAGCAACCTCTAATTCCTGAGCTCAAGCGATTCTCCTGCCTCAGCCTCCCAAGTAGTTGGGACCACAGGTACCTGCCACAACACCCGGCTATTTTTTGGTTGCAGCTGTCATTATTGTTTGGCGGGCCTGGACTGGACTCAAACCCACCACCTTAGGTGTATGTGGCTGGCGCCTTAGCTGCTTGAGCCACAGGGGCCAAGCCTGGATTATATTCTAATAGAGGAGTTGAAGGTAGGAGAACTGGTGCTATCGTGGTCATTTTATGAATACACATGGGGATTTCACTCTCCAAGATGGGCAATGTGATACCCTTGACTTCTTAACTCTGGCAAATAATTAGGATCCAACACACACACACACACATACACACATAATTCTAACAGGAATATGGGTGCCTAGAAGATTTAACATGAATAGTGGATGAACTGAGTTGTGAAGCTGCAGTTGGGGGTGGAAGTGGAGCTCTACTGGAAAACTGCAGGCAATAAACCCAAATAGCCAGTGGACAGTGGGATCAGGAGGGCAATGTACTTGCAATTGTCATTTCCCCTACTCTGAGTCTGGAATGATTCTAGGGGATGCTTAGGGAAGGGAAGGAGGATAGGGCAGCAGCCCTGTCTCCAGTGTTCTGGGTGACACCAAGAAGCCTACTCCCAGGGCATCAGGATCCCTGACTACTTGCTGTAGTTTCAGTCTGTCAAGGCCCCATTGGACCAAGGAACTATACATACTGGAACAAGATGTGTGCAGTCCCCTCAAATCTGAATCAACTTGAATTTTCCTCATTTTAAAGAGGGTTTTATTGTTGGCCTTTTGAAAGAAAAAGGGTCCCAAAGATATACTTTAGAACTAGTTTTTCTCTGGAGGTACCTGAAGTTGAACTTTTTGTCCTTCTAAAGATGATATTAGCCAGCCAAAGGACAATCCCAAGCACAGTGGCCAATGTAGAATTCCAACAACAAGCTGTAAGGCCAAGAAGAGATTTCCCTCCCAAGTCAGTGAAACAATAAGCCACCAAAAGACAAACGGTATTTGAGGATACCTCCAATGATGGGTCACCACAAACTGAGTAGAACCAGGAGGGCAGGCCTTGAGGAGTGGAGCTCACCTTTGATGTAGTTGAGGATTTTCTGGATTCGGTGGGGCTCATTGCGGTCTGGCCGGCAGCTTGGCGTGATTTCCAGCACATAATCAGGACCATATGCTGTGAAAAACTGTAAGGAAAAGGGAAAGGCCAAAAAACAAACCAAACCACATAAAACCTCCAATCTAAACACATACAAACAGGACAATCAAAAGAGACTCACCACTATGGACAAGGCAAAGGAGGCCTACTTGGGCAGAGCAGGTGGTATAGCAGGAAGTTGGGCCTTGGTGGTATCACGCCCCTTATTCAGACTTTCAGTGACCACTGTGAAACTTTTTAGCTTGCTGTTTGAGGGTCTCTCTGCTCAGGCCACAGCTTTTCTCTCCGACCTTAACTCTTACTGCTGTCCTGTTCTCTGGCCACATTAGACAGCTCAGTTCTCTTCTAAATCACATCATGCTTTGTCTTTTTTTAGGATCTGTGCCATTGTTCTTTCTGGGAGCCTGCAAAGGCCCTTTCCCAACCCCTGCTGTCTACTAAAAAACCTCCCCGTCCTTCCAGGCACAGGTCAAACATAACCTTCTTCATAAAGCTGTCCCTCATTCTTTACCAACCCTGAGAACATTCTTTTCTTTTTTTGAGACAGAGTCTCACTATGTCACCCTTGGTAGAGTACCATGGCATCACAGCTCACAGCAACTTCAAACTCTTGGGCTTAAGCGATTTTTTTTTTTAAGAGACAGAATCTCACTTTGTTGCCCTCAGTAGAGTGCCATAGTATCACAGCTCACAGCAACCTCAGCTCTTGGGCTTAGGCAATTCTCTTGCCTCAGCCTCCCCAAGTGGCTGAGACTACCGGTGTCCGCCACAATGCCTGGCTATTTTTTTGTTACAGTTTGGCCAGAGCCAGGTTTGAACTGGCCACCCTCGGTATATGGGGCCAGTGCCCTACTCACTGAGCAATAGGTGCTGCCCTTAAGCGATTCTCTTGCCTCAGCCTCCCAAGTAGCTAGGACTACAGGTGCCTGCCACAACACTTGGCTATTTTTGTTGTTGTCGTCATTATTGTTTAGCAGGCCCAGGCTGTGTTCGAACCTGCCAGCCCGAGTGTATGTTGCCGGGCTAACCACTGTGCTATGAGTGCCGAGCCCCCCAGAGCATTCTGGAGGGTACTTGCTCAGGGCTCTTGTTCAAATAGTCAGTGCTTCCCTGCAAGTCACATGTAGGTAAGTGTGCTTGTTGCAGTGGGGGCTATAACGACGGACGAAACCTCTTCTGGGGTCCTTTAGGTGTTTACAAGCACATTCTGCATTGGACAGCAGAATGATCTACCTTCCCCCAGGGCCCACTAGATTATCAGTTCCCTGAGGGCAGGCATCTTACTCATATTCTTGGTTATCACAGGCCATGGCAGCTGCTTGTTATACATTTTTTTTTTTTGTAGAGACAGAGTCTCACTTTGTCGCCCTCAGTAGAGTGCCGTGGTGTCACACAGCTCACAGCAACTTCCAACTCCAGGGCTTAGGCGATTCCCTTGCCTCAGCCTCCTGAGTAGCTGGGACTACAGGCGCCCACCACAACACCCGGCTATTTTTTTGTTGCAGTTTGGTCAGGGCCAGGCTCGAACCCACCACCCTCAATATATGGGGCCGGCGCCCTGCCCATTGAGCCACAGGCGCCGCCCCTCCTTGTTAGTTTTGATTGCTTTGAATTCCCTGGCCCAGGAATGGCAAACAAGTCTAGCTACCTTACTTTAGTTTTCCTTTGTCTGCAGTAGAGTTTATTTGTTTTTAAATTCAGGGAATCAAAATAAAGTTTTCTGGATTCTGTTTCTAGCTCTTTAGATGACTGCTTGTGACCTCTGGTAAGTCACAATATCTGATTCAGCTTCTCTGGTAGGGCCCACTTGGGGAAAAACACTCCATGACAAAGGGAATCATTCAATTGGGGTAAGTCTTTGAATGGGAAATATGTAAAGCTACTGTTTCTGTTTAGTTTTTAACAGAAATAGTATTTGTGCACACTCTCTGAAGAGGGAGCATATGGTTCTTAACATTATGTACTTTCAATACTGATATTGTTAGGGAGTAAGTAAATCAGGGAAATGCAAATTCCATGAAAAAAAGTGGTACAGAGGGCATGAAAAAAGGGATATTGATATGTGTCGTGACTTTGGTGCTATTTAAAGAGCTTTTTAAAAATAATCCAGGGTTATTGCCATTGTTACTAAATTATCTTTGTTAAGAGTCTGGATGTACATCTGGTACCGTGGGAGATGTTGTGGAACAATTTCTAGGGATTCTAACAGTGCCTTTGTGTAATCCATGGGAGTAATTTTATGGGGAGATGGCTTATGCCAGTGCTTCTCAACATTCCTAATGCTGCCAAATCAAGTCCAGCAGCTCCAGTGTCCCTCTTCCCACTTGCTAAAGCCATTAGTACAGCCTAGAGCCTGTGGAGAAACTGACTTCTCTGTTTCCTGTCCTACAGCCTTGCCACTTGCTACTGACTGGTGAGGTGGAAAGGAAATATGATCGCATAACGCAAAAGAGATGTTGGGGGTGGAGGGATTTGGCCAGCACTAGAAATAACTCAAGGCCCCACCCTGAAACTGCCCTCCAGCACCAAAGAGGAAAGGAAATGGGCAACAGCAATCCCATTCCCAGACAGGTGGAGCAAAGGATGAAAGAGGCCAGCCGACCTTCAAGGGAAAACGTTGGCTTTGATCTTAGAAAAGGAAGGAGGGAGGTGCTCACCCTTCTCCACCCCTTCCCCTTTACCCCTCAGCACTCCTTTTTCTTTCTGGGTTTCAGTTTATATACTTTTGAGGGGACCGTAGTCCTAAGAAGGGAGCAAATGGAAATTAGGAGATGGGTCAGAGTGATGGGAGTGGAAGGTTATGGCTACTTCAGGGTAGCCAGTCCCTACTTGACCCAAGAGCCAGTGAATAAAGAAGTATAAATAGCTCAGCTCTAGCTCCATTCAGCCTAACGCAACACTCCTTTCTTGCTCATTCCTCTCCAGCTCTTGCTCACATAGTGAAAATGGTATACAATTATATATTTGGTATTCAGAAGACACCTCAAGGTTGCTGTTATTTCTCCATAATTATGTTTGGTCATAGGAAACCAAGCCATAAATCTGAATCAGCCAAGCCAATCCTTTAATCCTTGACTTATTACTTAGTGAGTACCTACTATGTGCCTGACTAGGTTAGTTATTGGTGTACAAAGATAATAAAACATATTTAATAGGAAGGATTATTATAGAGCAGTGTGATGAGTGGTATAATAATAATAATAATATAAATAAAAGTAATAATAGCTAACATTTATTACAAGGCTATTACAAGGTACCTAATGTATGCAAGCACTTTCCATGGACTAACTTTATTCTCATAACTAACCCATATGGTAAGTACCATTGTTGCTTCCATTAGAAGAAGAAGAAGATCTGAAGTACAGAACAGTCAGATAACTTGACAGAAGTCACAAAGCTGGTACATGCAGAGCTGAGATTTGAACTCAGCTCATTCTGGAGCTCAAAAGAGGAAGGGACTGTGGAGGGCTGGAAGGAGGGATTCCCAACAAGAGCCTGGGCAAAGTCAAGGAGTATGAAATAGCACAGCACATTTTAGGCACCAAAGCGAATTAAATATGGCTAGGAAGCAGGGTACAAGGAGGACACAAAGGTGGAGGCAGACATGTGTTTCATGGTAGGCTCTGCTAAAGCATTGGGACTTATCTTAGACTAGAAGCTCCATGAGTACAAAACAGTGCAGCTAGGTGGTGGCAAATATTTGTGGAATAAATGAGTGGAAGCCTGGGGGAGAAATTGTGAACTTTTAAATGAGGGAATGAACAGGTCAGCTGTGTATTTCCTTTTTGTAAAATTTTTTTTGAGAAATAGAACTTTGCTCTGTCATCACAACTCACTGCAGCCTCACACTCCTGGGCTCAAGTGATCATCCTGCCTCCCAAGTAGCTGGGACTATAGGAGCAGGCCACTACACCTGACTAACTTTTTTCTATTTTTTGTAGAGACAGAGTCTCACTCTTGATCTTCCTAGCCACAAACTCTTGAGCTCAAGCAATCCTCTCACCTTGGTCTCCCAGAGTGCTAGGATTATAGGTATGAGCCACGGTACCTGTCTGCCATTTTCTTCTTAACTAAAGCACTTCCATGCACTGTGGCCATAACTTTTGCAGTCTTAGCTGCAACAGCAAACAGCACAAATTTCTTTTCTTTCTTTTTTTTTTTTTTTTGAGACAGAGCCGCAAGTTGTCCCTCTGGGTAGAGTGCCATGCCATCACAGCTCACAGCAACCTCCAACTCCTGGGCTCAGGTGAGTCTCCTGCCTCAGCCCCCCAAGTAGCTGGGACCACAGGCATCCGCCACAATGCCCGGCTATTTTTTGGTTGCAGCCGTCGTTGTTTGCCGGGCCCAGGCTGGACTCGAACCTGCCACCTTAGGTGTATGTGCCTCGTGTCTTAGCCACTTGAGCCACAGGCACTGAGCCAAATTTCTTTATCCTTCTTTGTGATTTCACAGATACATTAAAAAAATTTTAATGTGCAGATATCAGAATTTTTCTAGCTGTACATACTTTTTTGTTCTGAGACAGAGTCTCACTCTGTCACCCAGGCTAGAGTGCTGTGGCCTCAGCTTAGTTCACAGCAACCTCAAAATCCTAGGTTCAAACAGTCTTCCTGCCTCAGCCTCCCAAGTAGCTAGGACTATAGGCTTTTGCCACCATCTCTGGCTAATTTGTCTATGTTTAGTAGAGATAGGGTCTCACTCTTACTCAGGCTGGTCTCTACCTCCTAAGCTCAAGGGATCCTCCCACCTTGGCCTCCCTGAGTGCAAGGATTACAGGTGTGAGCCACTGTGCTCAGCCATGTTCTTTTTTTAATTAAAAATTTTTCTTTATAGAGATGGGGTCTTGCTCTGTTGCCCAGGCTAGAATATAGTGGCATCATCATAGCTCATTGTAACCTTGAACTCCTGAGCTCAAACCATCCTTCTGCCTCAGCCTCCAGGTAGTTGGGACTACAAGTGTGCACCACTGTACCTGGTTCAGAAGATTCGTTTTTACAGTAGATTTTAGCAATCTCATTATACATTTTT